TTATACTCTAGGAACATTTGAATTCATAATCTCATGAAATAAGAAGTAAGGAGCCATAATTCCTTGTTGTAATTGGAGATTTATAACTATCAAAAACCTCCATGGATACATGGTTTGATTTGAGAATTCTTCAAAATTGAGTCACCATAGAGCTAGGTTTCGCCTCTAAGCTTGAGTTGAAGCTTTAATGGAGTTTCAATCTCTCTTCTCTCACTTATATGCCACATTCTACACCTTCCTTTCTCACTATAAAATGTTTTTACGAATGAAAAGAGAGAACAAGGAAACTAAAAAGGGGTGTGCTACGCTCTTCTTCTTCTTCTTTTTCACAGTTTAAGACTTTCATATGTTGTAAGAATAGATCAAAATGGGTGATCAAAAGCTCCAATTTATAGGCTTGTATAATATATGCATCTGCATGAGTTAGTCCAGGCCATTAATACAAGTTACTCATGGTATGAGAGAGGGCTTGATCCTAGCCATTCATCGCTTATCATGCCATCATTGTGAGTGGATAATATTCAACACTATTATCCTCCTAATAACCTTAAATTTACTTCAAATTTCTTATCATTAAGCTTAAACACAAATTCAAATGCAATTCAACTTGTTTATAAAAAATACCAATGCAATTTCATAGAAGTAGATAGTGAGTGCTATGTAAAGGTACGCCCCTCTTATAAACAAAATTAGTTTCCTAAAGAAAATTTGAATTTGAAATTCCCTCCAATTCTATGTCAAATTGATTTTGAAATTCCCTTCAGTTCTATGTCATTAAAGTGTGCATGCGCGACCAATTATATAATATCACATGGAGTAGTTGTTTATGGATGCTTAATTCCAAAAGGACTTAATGTTTCAATATTAATATCAAAATAAGAGTGGCAATTGGGACCAGTGGATCTGAGACCCGTCGGGTAGAACTGACATGGGTCCAGTATGGATCTAAGGGTCGGACCTGATGGTTTGGGTCTGAGTCCATTAGCATGGGACCCAAATTGGATCCAAGTCGGGTCGGGACTCGATCCAGGTAGCCCCGTGCTGACCTGAACTGAATTTATTAATAAATAGATTAAATTTTATTTTATATTTATATATTATTTGAATATTGATTAAGAAAGTGTTGATAAACTAAATGTTATAATTTAAATATTAACTAAGTATTAATCACTTTAAATAAATAACAATATAATATAATTTGTATTATATTATATAATAATTTAAGGTCTCTCCTCTCTCGCGTCCCAACGAAATCTTGAAAAGTGGACTATGTGACCAATTAATTTTTTTTATCTTTTTCTTATTGTATTGCCACCCCAGTCACTTACAAAGTCTCCAAATACAATAAAAATCAACTAAGATTGCCCATAACTCTCACTTACTTATAGTTAAAACAAAAGGAAAATTGTTTCATGCGGGCTGCATATATGGTCCAAAAAGTGTAAAGCATCCATCTTAAAGATGGATGCAAGTAGGTGTTCCATCTAAAAACAGTGGAACCTTAGGGTCCAAATGTTTTCTTACAAGAATTATTATTTCTAGTTTTTAAAATTTACTAATTTTTTCAAATTCATGATCTTTATGTTAGAGATTATATGTCCTTAAAAATTAAGTCCAAAAATAAAATAAATTTATTAATAGGCCCGCATTTCTACATATGCGGGCTTGGTCGTATAGAAACTGGGTCCAAAACAAAATTACAAATATGGAAATGAAAGATGCAATGGAATAAAGAGAGTATAAACCAAGAGAATACCTTATACCTTGCCTCAGGTTACCCCAAAGGACGTTGCATCCCCTACACCGGGTTTCATCCACCAATGACACATGGGATCTAGGTTCAAGTTATCATCTCATAACTTGAGAAGCCTATGCAAAAACACCAGAGAGCATAACATGGGATATCCCTTGATCAAGGCTCCTAGGACTAGTCTATGTGGCTTGGGTGTGCCACCTTAAGGCTAGGTTTCTTTCCTAAACCCTAAGCTTTAGAGAGAGAAGAAGAGAGAAGTTTAGAGAGGGGCCTGCAACCCCTTAGAGACTCAAAGAGATAGAGAGAGAGAGAGTTGAGGTGTGTAGAGAATCAATCCCTATAGCTAGTTTATATAGAACAAGGCTAGGGTTTTGCCATTATTATAAAATTTAATCTTGACCGTTGATCTTGAAGTCTGGTGAGGTGAAGAGATCTCATATATTCAATCTTTAAATCAGCTATCATGATTAAAGAAATGAGATGGAACCATGATCCCCCAGTTTTTGTAACTTCATTCCCATCAAATATCGAGTAAAAACTCAAAACAACCCATGGCTTAATTACCATAATAGAAAACAGGAAAGTTTGGAGGAGGTGAGGGCGCACCACCGATGGATGGCCTATGTAGGCCCACGCCCCAAATATTGGTGGGCCCAATGAGCCCCAATAATTAAAATAATATTTTTAAATAATAAATTAATTTTATAAAGTCTCTAAATAATTTATTTTTCTCTTTGGTTAAAATAAATCCACAAAATTAATTTTTTATTTAAAAATTGTTTTTTAATAAAATAAAATACCTAGAGAGGTCTAAAAAATCATTTTAATTATACGAAAATTAATTAACATATATTTAAACATATCTAAGTATATTCGATGGGAATTAGATCCATAGAGTGAGGATTATGATAAATATACTAATGACTCCATCATCTCTAGAGACTGTATCGTACTGTAACTTCTCAAACTGATCCAATAGATCCCATGACCCACAACCTCTTTCAGGAGTTTATAATTGGACTGTCAAAGTCAACCAATAAAGTGTAAGATACGATTCTCGACCATGGATTACAAGTCCCCACCTAAGGAGAAGTCTATGTCCCATTTCAATAGTATGTTCTATGGGACCTTCCAATACAGTCTAATGTTATAGAGAATCATCTTTCTTTTCTATTCATGTACATGCCATACACCCATATCCATAAATGTCCGCTTCTCGAACGACTATCTCCCTTTATCCATAAATGGCCGCTTCCCGGAGGCTAACACGTACACGCCACAAACCTTTATCCATAAATGGCCACTTTCCGAATGGCTATCTAGTGTACATGCCGTATGATAGTAACGATGAAAATTTAAGCCTTTGTGCTCTCAGGCTATCCATCACACACAGGGGTCAAGTCCATATCCCCTGGCCAACTATCCTAGGCCCAACTTCGACGTCATCAAAGGATAACCCCACATCGAAAATCATTATCGATTGTGTGTTTACACGTGTCTAGGATTACAGGGTTTTAGACATTACATTAAATCATAGCCTATCAAAGCTCATGTGTCTATAAATTAGAAATGCTTTATAGTCCAATGTGGACCACACTCTCACTGGAACCAACATTTCACTATATGTTTTCAATACACACTTATAAAGCCTTTAAATGGCACAAAACCCTCCCCATCGCCCAAAACCCTATGCTGTTCCCAACGAAACCCCCAATTCCCCATCTCTCCTTTCTCTCTCTCTTCCCAACAAAACTTAACTAGGTCTAACGTCCCAAGACTCAGACCTAAAACGGAATTGATTAGGAGGAACCCAGATCCAGCCCAAACCCACCTTGAAGACCAATTCTTACATTTTTTTTTTTTTAAATGTATATTTAACTCAAAACAAAGAGCAAAAATTTGTTGAAAACAGAGATTTTAGGAAAACATGGTTAGGGAGAGAAAAACAGAGATTGTTGATGGAAACTGAGAGAGAAAATTAGATTTTTGATGATAATATAGTGTGAGATTTGATGGAAATAGAGAGGGAGATTACGAAAATAGAGTGCGAGAGAGATATAGATTGGACAAAAAGTACAGAGAAAGAGACATTTGATGAACACACGGGGATTTATAAAAAATACAAAGATTTAACTATGAGAGAGATTGACAAAACACCAGAGAGATTTAACTAAGAGAGATTGACAAAACACCAGAGAGAGATTTAACTAAGAGAGATTGACAAAACACCAGAGAGATTCAACTATGAGAGAAAGTAGGGTTTCAATTTTCCTTTTCTTACATTTCAAGAGAGATTTCACCTTAGCAGGAGATTTCTCTTTACTTGTATTTCGTTGCCGCTAGGGTACAGTCGTGATTCAAAATCATATATTCCTTCTAGAAGATTTAACCCATGTGCACACGGTTGTGTGCATTTAGCCGTGCTCAAATTCCATTTTTATTTTCCCAAAACTCTCATAAATTAAAAACCCATTCAACAAACAATCAAATGACAAGAAGGCCCCACGTGGGGGCAAGACAATACCATGACATCCGCCCCATGTGGTGATGACATAGTGCCACATAATGCACATGTGGCACGTATTCGCTGTTTGGGCGTCAGGTGCACCTATTGGTTGTTTGGGTGCCGTGTGAGTCATGGAGTTATCCTTTATTGTCATTTTTGTCAAAAAAATTTTTTTCTAAAACTCAATTTTTTGCTCCAAAAAAATTCTAAAACATTCCCAAATATTCACCAAATCATTCTCTATCAACTTTTTCCAGTTTGGCGTAAAATAAGATTTTAACTAGGATCCGATGGAATAAGAAATCAAATACCATCAAAGCAGTCTCATCTTAGCTGACTCCGGGTGACAAACCAGTTGGCCCAGCTTCGAGCAAGGAAGCTCCCTTCATTTCAAGTTATTTCATTTCCTTCGTTAATCGTTATTGCATTTTCAACTTTCATTTCTTGTTTCTTTCTTGCAATTTTCTAGCAGTTTTGATGTGAGATCAGCTGGCGTTGCTAGCAACCAATAGAGGTAAGTCCACCTATGGGTTGGAATTCAAGGGAAACCCTCTCTCTTTTAAACAATTGAATTAGAAGCAGACCTGTTGAGGGTCTATCCCGGATTCTGCTATAAACATGTTTGTCTTAAATGAATAAGTGAACTTTTGGAGAGAGAGAGAGAGAGAGAGAGAGAGAGAGACATAAGCGGATATGCGGTCTGCATGGAGGTGCAAGGGTACTCATGGGGTTGGGTAAGAATTGGTGTTGAATCCAATGCCATTATGTACTAGCATCTCATAATTAAAGAAGTCCCAGTCCACTAAAATATCAATAAATTTACATCATAACAGTAATGTAAGTAAAAGACATAAATTGTATAGTAGAAAGGGACCATTTACCTTTCGCAGAGATAACCACCAACTCGAATTCTTCATGCGTGAAATTGGGAAGGTATGCCATTTCTCTGCACAAGGTCCTATGGAATTTACTTTAGGGACCAAGATGAAAAAAATTACAATCCATTTGATGCGAATCTGCACAAGCCAGGGCATGTCATTTCTCATCGAAGTCCTGGAACTCTGTGAACTTTGAGCATCGTTAGTGACAAACCCCCAGCCATCCAAATGCTCGGGCCAGTTACAACAGCAGCCAGATTTTAGGCACATAAAATGGAATGAGGGAAGTTAAAGAAAATGAAAAGGCTTGGAGGATATTTACATTAATGGACTGTAGATTGTCTATGAACAGGATGATCGGCTAGTTATGAAAGGAATATATGCCCTTATAAACAGAGAACTAAGCTCGCTTTCTTCACTAGTTAAAACTTGCCCATAAGCATCTTCCTGACACCACCCGAATTAAAACCTCGATGTCAGCAAATAATTGGGTCTGGACCATAAGTCAATTTTGCAAGCTGTTCAGGCCTGCAACACAAATCTCACTCTTAGAGGAAAAGTGGGGATCAGAGAGACAGATGTGGGAGTGGAAACAAATATTAAAAATTAAAGGGCACTAATGACGAGCAACTGAGAGGCATATGTCCTGATAGTGGTAGGTGCTTTGGGTTGCGGTGAATTCGCGATGGACATTACCGTTGCTGAACACTGAGTATTCCGGTTCCAATCTGCATAGGTACACCCATGATGATGCACTCACTCACTCCTGCAATTGTGTCAACCCTCCCACGGGTTGTCGCATCGAAGAGAATGTCAGCCGTCCTCTCAAATGATGCAAGCATCAGCACGCTCTCTTTCATCTTGGTAATGCCAAACCTTTGGATGCCAAGCACCAAACCCTATTTATGATAAAAAAAAAGGAAGTAATCATCATCAAAATTATGAAAATACATACAAATTCACGCACCATAGTTACCGAAATTGCCCAAAGTGGCAATCCACTCCAGGATCTCACCCAGGCGCCTCAGAAATGGAGCAATCGCGACTAGGCTGATAGATACTGTACTTTTCTTTTCTCTTATATATAGATGGATAGAGGCTGGCATGGGTGGCGCTGCCCCAACCAATGCATGGAGGAAATCATTAATTTGCCACAACCTTTTTTTAACTCTTCAAGTTAAAAAAAAAGAAAAGAGTGGGATGACAAAGGAGGCCAGGCCATTGCTGACGCAGGGTAGGCCTCCGTCGTCGTGTGTGTGGGGGGGGGGGGGGGTGGTGTGTGTGTGTGAGAGAGAGAGAGAGAGAGGGAGATGTAGATCGTGCAAACCTAAGCCATTAGGCCTATATTATAGCATAGGCTGGCCAGCCCGCCATATATATAATGGATTTTGTTAAGCTGCTCCCTTTCATGGAGTATTCCCTAAACCCATACAACATATGTTAAACACTTATTACCCTTGCTTTGCAATAAAAAAACTTTTTGAGAAGGCAATTTGTGTCATCAGTGATGGGTAGAATTGATTGTAGTTGTTGCAAAGGAATTAATGCTCTATAAGGGTGATATCAAACCACATGTGGATGATTTTATCCCATATGGGTGATGTCATGGACTACTATAGTTAATAAGTTCTTTTGTTTCAACAAAAAATTTCTACTTTATCATTGATTAATTATTTAAAATAACACCAAGAAAGAGTATTAAAAAATGTTGATTAGGTCAAAGACATACTCCATAATAGAGAGTAGCCTACATCACTCACGCATGCACGCACGCACGCACACACACACACAGTAAGAGAGGTCGGGAGAAAGAGAGCTTGAGAGAGAGAGAGGGTGCGGGGTCGGGGTCGGGGTGGGGGTGGGGGTGGGGAAAGGGGTGAGAGAGGGACCTACCAGGGAAACCCTGGGATATCATGGGTAATCCTAGACTATTAAAATTGAGAAATGGGATTATCATACCCTGAAAGTCATCAAATCTGCAAGAAGCATCATATGACGTAGATCAATGCTCATTCCATGGCTTTTCATGGTGTATTGTATCTCATCAATTATACTCTTCCTTGCAGCCTCAATACCCAGTGTTCCCTCCACCTCAACAATATGATTACTAGTGGTATTTCTCCCGTCCACTCCTGGTGTACCCATTACAGCAAGGAGATTCGTACTACAATCATGCAACCAAATGTCATAGAAAAATCATGATATACATATTGCTTTAATTTTAGGAAGTGATATTCAAGATGATTTAAAAGATATTAGAACCTCTTTCTAAATAGGAAAGAATCATGGTAGAGTGTATCTCATTTAAATTTCACATATCACTTCCAGAGAGTATAGAAATTCTTCCAATGCCATTTCCTTACAACATATAGGCATCGAAAGGTCAAATTTTTTCGATGGGATTTTTCAACTTCATCATTACAATGGTGTATCATAAAGAAACTCCATTGATGTGTGTGTGTGAGAGAGAGAGGATATAGATGATGATTCGCAAAATTGATTGAGAAATCAAAATGCTAGTGATTACTCACTCAAAAAATATCAAAACGCTAGTGATTGCAACATAGGCGTACTGCAGCACAAAAAATGTCACAATCCAATGCACATAACAGTTATATAACCACCGCAAAGAATCCAACAAAATTATAGAAAGAAGTATTTGATTATGGTGTAAGTAGATATCTACTAGCTAAAGATTAATACTATATAAACAACATATCCTCCTCCAAGACATACATTTGACATCAGGGATATAGATGCAGCAGCTTCCAAGCAAGAGATTTAAAAACGGGCATGCCACCTTTTTAGGGGAAAAGGGCGGGGGGGGGGGGGGGCGGTTCAAGTTTTCAAGTTTTATTTTTAAAGATGGGAAATCTTTTGATCTTAAATTAGATTTGGTTTCCTATCATGTGGAAGTTTTTAAAATATAGATTATCTTAGATTATGGGAGATCCAAATAATGATAAGATACATATATTTTAAATTTAAATAGTAGTTGGATATGTCAAAATCTAAAGGGATAAGGTTCCTATCTTTCTATCCAAAATCATGTTGACTGATTTGTAGGATGAATGACTTTGATTAAATCTCTCAGCCCACAAATTTCCTAATTATCATAAAGGTCAAGCTGGATAATGGATAAGGCAAACTTAAATTGAATTCTATTCAAATTCGAGATAGATTTCATTATATTTAAAGACCTATTTGAACCTCTTTCAAATATGGACAAGATCTCTCTCACGCCCCAAGTTTTATCTCTCTCCAACATGCCAAAAGATTCTCCGTCTCTCTCACACACCTATTCTTCTCCATGTCACCCTCTCTCCTCTTAGAGAATCACGTGACCCCTCTTCTTGCCCAAGAGAGAGTCACGCAACCCTCTCTCTTCTCTTATTTTAAATGACTTCTATCAAAGAAAATAAAAAGAGAAAGGTGGGACTTTCAAACCATAGTTGTTGGAAACGCTTGGGAACCTGAATCGTTTTAGGAAGCGGAAACGCGGCCTGCTAGAGGATTCCTGTCTTAGGAATCATTGGCCGTACAATAGGAATCGCCAAGAACGAGATTCCTAGTTTTTGAGAATCGTGTTTCGACTGAAATAGATCCAAGTTTCATCCACATATGGAATCGAGATTTCGTCCTACTTGGAATTGAGATTCCCAATCCCCAGGAATTGACACTCCAGAATTCAAGATTCATCGCGGAATAGAGTTTTTGACATCTATGGAATCGAGTTTCTGACAAATGTGGAACAAAGATCCATGTCAGTTTGAGATCGGGATTTACAATAATATGGATTATGGAATGCATTTGATGACCCCTACCAGGAATCGAGATTTCATTTTTATGGAGAAGGAAGCCACAAGCACATCTTGAGCCTCATCAACTTTGGAACCTATATTGAATGTCTCTTATTAGAAGGTTTCCCAAATTTTAAAGTGATTGTATTGACTATTGAACTTACAGTCATTATATACAAAAGTAAAGTATTTCTAAATTGTTCTTTTGACTTCATTATTATAAAGACAAAATAGGATTATGCATATGCCATGGTTTTACTTTTTATTATATGTGGTGTATTTACCAATAAAGAAAAGGTCATCCTAGGCGGCACAAGTAAAATAATGAAACCCTGCAACCACTAGAAGCAATCAAAGAAAGATTTCTACTACAATTTGATGTGGAATCAAGATTTAATCCTCGCTGGAATCCAGATTCGACATATTTGGGAACGTCCACCCACAATTAATGGGTTCGAGTTTCCAAAGATGCGTTGGATCGAGAATCCGAAATTAAGGAATTGAATTTCCTTGGTTTCGATAAATGGTTTCTAAAGATGTGTTGAACCGAGATCGGTAACTTGATTCCGAAAAATGATTTCTAAAGATGTGTTGAATCGAGATTCCGAAATTAAGGAATTGAGTTTCCTTGGTTCCGAAAAACGGCTTCCATGGAGATTCCTTAATGGAAACGCGGAATTGGATTTAGAAACCAAAAACGCGAGGTCAGTGGAGAGATTCCGGTAAATATGTTTCAAACCCTAAGTGAAGTTTGTTGACTTTGAAGAAGAACAAAAATACTACAAGACATGAGAGAAATAAACCCTCAAGCCTTACCCTAGTTTGCTTTTTGAGCTCTCTAAAACCCTAGAGAAATAAGTATTGCCTTAATAACTTCCCATTTCATAATTCCAAGCAACACCTAAAGGACTAAAAGTGCCACAGCGGTCAAGGAATCAGGTGTGGGGTGTACCAAGACCTGTGAGGGTAACTCTAGACTTCTTCCAGTAAGTCTTCCCAGTAGTTTTAATTAATGTTCAACATTATTTCTTATTTTCTGTGAATTTTCAGGAACTTGTTTTGTACTAAATATTATAGAGGAAGTTCTTGTAAGGTCTTGGATAGTTTCAATTTCTTTTGGCAATGATAAAGAATCTAAGTTGTATCTAGGATATTATTTTTTATTTACAGCAATATTTAGGCCCATGTAACTGGAATTCAGGTACATTGAATAAAAGAATAATTTTTTTTGAATTTAATACCTTGAGTTCCACATAGCCACACCTTTCACCTTTTAGGTGTCAACAAGACCAGAAGAGCACAAGGACTCATGTTCTTATAGATGAACCCCCTATGTAGAAGCTCATTGACCTGTCTCTACAACTCATCATGCCCTTTGGGCTCATTCTATATGCGGCTTTATTCGGTAGGCTAGACCTTAGAACGAGATCCATGTGATGTTGGATGTCCCTCATGGGTGGTAACACCTCAGGTTGCTCATCTGTAATGCGGTGGAACCGAACAAATTGGCTACTTCACCACTTGGACCACTACAAACAACATCCTTAACTCCTCCAATGCCTCCATAAATTCTGCCAAAGAAAGAAGGCCGGCACACCCTTCATCGGATTTGGATGTACTTTCCTTCTTAAATGGACCTAAAACCACTTTAGCCCCATCTTTGACAAACGAACAAGTATTTCTAAATCCATAATCCATGTTACACCTATCATACTACCATAGTCTATCCAATAAAAAATGATATGCATCCATAGGCACAACATCAACCCACACCTTAGCTTTATAATGCTTTGCAGTAGAAAAGAAAGTAGACAGCGCTTAGAAACTGTTAGCTCATTTCCCTTTTTGAACCAAGCTATCTTGTATGGTTTTGGATGGCTCTCTGTCTTCATCTTCAGCTTGTCTACCATCTCTTGAGAAACAATATTTTCATAGCTGCCCCCATCAATAATAAGATTGCAAACTTTCCCATATACTGTGTATCGAGTGTGGAAACTATTAGTGCATAACCAATCTGCCTCATTTACTACCTTGGATGTCACCATGCTGCGCCGGATAACCAAAGCCTCCCCATGGTCACTAAAGGTCGCTTCAGGCTCTTCTCCCTCAGGCTCTTCATCATAAATAGAGCCCCCATCAAAAGATAATTTGTTGTCCTCCTCGAAAAACTCCTCAACAAGGCTCACAAATTCTCTATTTGAGCATTGAGCAGAGACATGACCACTCCTCAAATACTTTTATGACGCTACTGTTTGGGTAACTAGAACTGGCTCCCCAAAACCCGCAATTTCCTGCTGTTTGGACAGACCAACAGGCCGTGAGGACTGTCTAGCCGCTAAATTTCAACCTTTTCCCTTAACTTCACTTCCATGGCCACTTGAGATACCTTAGCTTTAGCATGCAGCCACCTTGATTGGACAGCCTCAACTTCAACCTTAACTGCGAAGTTGTAAGCCTCATCTAAGATCCACTACCATTGTAAAACCACCACATCTTGTATAGACGATCTCAATCTACCAAGATAGTGAGCTAAGGACCGTTCTTCCCGTTCAATCACATCACTACGAGCCATCAACTCACAAAATTCATCAGTATTCTCCTCTACAGTCTTTTCTTCCTGACAAAGATTATTTATCTTATGATAGAGGGATGAGGGACTGCAAATAATTTTTAGGCAGGTATTTTGCTTTTAATTTCTTTTTCATCTTCTCCCATCTATTAATTTGGGGCTTCTCATTCTCTTTTCTAGCCCTATGCTAGTCCCACCAGGCTGAGGCACCCTATTTCAATTTTAATGCAATAATTTTTGCATTTTTATTTTCAGGAACCTCCTAATAATAAAAAGCCCTTACTACTCGATCTATAAACTCCTCGAGTTGAGGCTTACCGTCAAAATCAAGTATATTGACCTTCAAATCGACATCTCTAGAGTGATGCACCCCACGTCTATGTCTTCGATGGCTATCATCATCACTCGAGTCCACATGCAGAGCTCGATGATGAAAAAGGATGTATTCGAGATTCTCTTGAGTAGAAAGATGATTGTCTTGCCCATGTTTGAGACTTGCGAAATGTTGTGTCAGCTGCCGAACTTGTCTTTCAAGTTCCTCAATCCTCTAATCGCTGGGATCACAAAGCGGGTCCACGAAAATCCCCCTTCTATGGTCCCTTCTCGCTATCATGAGTTCGCAGACATCACAAACCCTAGGCAAATATTCAACAAAAAAACTGCTGAAATCAGCAAGATCTAAGTTGCTTTGGCATAACTTGGGCCAACAGCCAACCAAGACCATGTTGTAATTTGGCTACATTGTTGATCTAGGGCACCAAAAAGCTCGCTACAGTACCGTCCGTACAGTGCTAT